ATAATTTAAATACAAGAAAGGAATAGTTTGTTAGCATAAGGACCAGCTTGAGCAAAAATAACTATCTCCCACTAGTTAATGCAACTACATTTCTTCCTGACTCTGAAGTTTGTCTGGGCATGCTTTATATTCTTCTTTTCACTCCAAAATTTTATTCTTGGGATACCTGCACAGTACAAGGCTGGAGGGGGCCAGGAGCCCAGTGAAGATCCAGCTGTCTGCTCTGATTAATGGTTAGCTCACTCCCTGGTTCTTTTTTTTTTTCTTTCCCAGAAGGTCTCTCCGAGACAATAGCTAGGCTTTGTTTTGGAAATAGTCCATTCTGAAGGAATTGCACACCAATTTTTTGGCATTCACCATCATTCAGCAGTCTCCCAACCTGGACATTTGGATCTTTGAACATGCACAACACACAACTCTCACTTCCATGCTCTGAAAATGCAGTATTGCTGGGTTACAACATAGTCTCCAGATCGTTTTAGATACTTTGAACTGAAATGTTCTCGATGCTAATAATGCATGAGGTGTGTGATGGATGGAAGCGGGATTCTGGATCTGGATTCAGGAATGAACGGATCAGGATCAAAGGCAGACAGAGTCCTCCTCAAACACCGACCATTGAAGAAAGAGGGCTGACTCTTTGATCCCTCATCTTTTATACTAAGCATGATCCAGATGGGATGCAATACTCTGTTGGCCGGTTTTGGGTCACCTGCCCTGTCCACTCCTTCCTACAAGTGGGACCCTTCTATCCTTTTCCACCTCTGATCCTCCAATGGGGAAAATAACAAGGTTAGCTGACCTTGGTTGTTACAGCAATGAGTGTAAGCAAGAGCCTCTCTGCATACCATTCCTTGGCATAAATTATAAACAATCAGGTCTTATCACTCCGGGAGTGGACTACGGTCTTAAAAATATGTCATTAATTTCAGAGAGTTCAGTTAGTTAGAAGAGGGTTAGCTGAAACGTGAAATTACTGAACAGAAAATTGATCCCGTTCTACTTCAAACCAGGGCACTAGTGCAGAAAGTGTTTGCTGGGGAGTGCTAAGCACTTGTGTCAATCTCACACTTAAAAACCTCCAGCAGGCTTATCCTCCACTTCTGTCTTTAATGTAAGTATCCTGAAAAGGACCGAGTTAAGCAACAGCAAATGGCAGTATATTTTTTTACATCGGGTTCAGTGCACTCTTGCATTCATGTTCGTGTTACTCGGTAATTTGCTTTTCTGAGCAGCCATGAACATTAAACTCCTGAGGATTTCATGGCCTTGAGGTTAGTAGCTTCTTGGGAGCTCAGCAAAGCAGAGTGTTAAACCGTATAGCAGACTTTATTCTTCAAGTTTTATTTTTGCCGTGACAGAAAACTAGCTGAAAGCTTTTTCCATGGGTGTTTCCTTTGGTCTGGCTAAAACAGATTACTAACGAGGGAAGAGAAAATTTCCATTCTTCTGCACATCTGCTGAATGTTCCTTCCCTGCCTAAAGAACCATAGTTCAGACACAGGAATGAACAGAATGAAGTGTAACGGGTATTGAAATATCTTTAGGTGACAGAAGTCAAGCAAACAAAAAACTGTGTCTTATGTTCATGTCTATTATATATGATATATATGATATGTTGGAAAACTACATAATCTCTTATATTTTCCATTTAAGAAATTATTTAATCCCTATATAATGTCTCATATGTTCTATATAAGAAAATAATTTTAAAGACATGAGATTGTTTTTCCTTTTTTTGTCCTGGGAGCAAGTAGTAGTTTTGGACAGCCAGTGAGTACTTCGGGTAGAAAGCCTCATTTTACTGTTGTTATTTAACTAGAATTTTTTATGATTTTATTCATGACTTTGAAGACTTGGGGTGGAAGGGAGAATGAGGTAGCCAAAGCAGGAGCAAAGGTCCCATATTTTGACCTTTGTGCATTCCTATCCAGGTATGGCTGAATTCATTGAATTTGCTGGTCAGCAAATTATCACCTCGTGTACTCTGTGAATACCAGTTGAGGTAAGGAAATGGGCAGTTGCTACAGAGAAATTGTGGGCAGGTTCCTGATTACCTGGGTTACCTGGAATAAGCACTACCTCAGTAGTGCTTATGGATAGTTTGAATTTTCTTCATTTTCAGAGGATTTCCATAGTTCTCATGGGAATTAAGTACTATCTCACTGTTCTATTGGCATAGGTATTATATGGCTTGGTATTATTGTTATTTTTGGCTTAAATATAAGCAAAGCTCATGGACAGCTCAGGGTTAATTTGCACGCAAGCTGGAACATCAAAAGATCAGTTGTAATAATCAATGTTTGAAAGATATCATATAAAATACAGCATCTAGGGCTGCAAATACATACAGAACAGTGAAAACTGTTTTACCTGCAAATTCATTTTTTCTGAGGTCGTATGTTTAAGAATTCTAATATATATTCTGGCAGAAAAGCTGTTGATGACAGAATTGTCTCATGTTTTAAATAACATGGGTTACAGGAGCAGAGAAAAATTATACACTTCAGTGACATTTACAATATTTTTAGGGAAAAAAAATAGCAGTGGTGTCCACTTCACTAAACGGTACATTTTATTCCCTGTGGAAAGTTAGTCTGCCGGGTCAGACCAGCAGATGACAGGTGATTTCTTGAATATTTGTCAATAAGTATTCACAACATGTAACAATGTTATAATAATGTTACAAGTATGCTACAGTTATTGTCTGTGATGAAAACAACTACAAATTACAAAATAACTAAACAAATGCTTTGTTTTGTCCAGAAAGTAATTAAAATGTATCCTTTGCGGGCAGATAGAAAAAGGGAATGTGTGGAAGAGTTCTTAAGCACTCCGTAGCCTGATCTTGTCAGAAAGACTAGATGAAGAGTCCTAGACTGTGCTTTCAAAACCTGAGCATGCTGCAGTCATCTTTTGTCCTGCTTACACTTGTCAATGGCAAATTCTTGGCTCAGGTGTGTGCCTATTAAGTGCATGTGTCAAAGCTTGGAGAATGGCAACACCGAAGCTGGGACTAATTGTAGAATCATAGAATGGTTTGGGTTGGAAGGGACCTTAAAGATCATCTAGTTCCCCCCCCCCTGCCATGGGCAGGGACATCTCCCACCAGGTTGCTCAAAGCCCCATCCAGCCTGGTCTTGGACACTTCCAGGGATGGGACATCCTCGGCTTCTCTGGGCAATCAGTTCCAGGGTCTCACCACCCTCACAGGAAATAATTTCTTTCTAGTATCTAATCTAAATCTCCTCTCTTTCCATTTAAAACCATTACCCCTCATCCTATCGCTACGCTCCCTCATACAGAGTCCCTCCCCGTCTCTCCTCTAGGCCCCCTTCAGGTACTGGAAGGCCATTATTATGTCTTCCCCAGAGCCTTCTCTTCTCCAGGCTGAACAACCCCAACTCTCTCAGCCTGTCTTCATAGGAGAGGTGCTCCAGCCCTCTGACCATTTTCGTGGCCCTCTGCTGGACCCACTCCAACAGGTCCATGTTCTTATGTTCGGGGCCCCAGAGCTGGACACAGTACTCCAGGTGGGGTCTCACCAGAGCAGAGTAAAGAGGCAGAATCACTTCTCTGGACCTGCTGGACATGCTTCTTTTGATGCAGCCCAGGATGCACTTGGCTTTCTGGGCTGTGAGTGCACATTGCTGGCTCATGTTGAGCTTCTCATCCATGAGCACTCCCAAGTCCTTCTCCTCAGGGCTGCTCTCCAGCCATTCTCCACCCAACCTGTATTTTTTGCCAGACTTCAGTCACCTAAAAGGTGCCTAAATTTAAGATGTCTAAGCTCCTTTCATAATTAATGACTCAAAACAGGTACTTACAGAGTGCAATATTGTCCAAAGGGTAGTTGGCTAAGAGAGCTTGATAAATTAACTATATTGTTAAAGATCATCGAACAGAACAATTAGCTGTTAACTGAAGTTAGGTGAAATGAAAGCCCCTCTGTCATCATGCGTCATTTTCTGCATGTGAACAGCTTGGACAAATTGTGGTCTAACACATCCTTATCTTATTCCCATTGTCCACAAATGATGTTTGGCCAATGCTGTGTATAGATATATCTGAATCTTTGTGAGTCATATGCATCGTACTAACAACAGAGGCCATGTCTGCACTTTCAAAGTCCAAGAATTTCTGAAAGAATTACATGTACCACCCCAATAATGACTAACAACTTCTATCATGGACCTGCCAGGGCTCAAGAACGTAGCTGTGAGTGGTGTTATCAGTTAAGATCGTGCTTCTGCAGGTTATTCTGAGTCTGTGTTCTGCACTCTCAAGGCAGGATAAAACTTGATACTGTCTTCTGAGGAGAAAGAGTAGACAACAGCAATTTGAGGTGGTCTCAGATTTCTGAAATTAATTTGCCAAAGATACAGATATGTACTTTTTGGAATTCATAAAATGCATATAATATTTTTACAAGTCTGTCTAATAGGGAAATTTTATTGTGGTAGTGAACTGTGTTATTTGAGAAATTAGTTTTAGAATAACATCACCTTACATTAATTAGCATAGTGCAAATGCAACTGTTATACTATGTGAAAAGCTGTGTATCTCTGCAATAACAGTCCACTTAGGACAATATTCCATATGCAGTATCCTACATACAAGCAATGAAATGCTGCTCAGACTGTGCATTACCGGTGGTGCAAATAAAGATTTAATAATCAAACACACAGTAGGAATGCAGGTTCTTATAGGATAACTTCTAAAATGAATAAGAATTTAAAAGTAAAATGTGACCACAGAACTGTTTGCCATTTCACCAGCCTAAACCTTTGTGTTAGTACACAGTGTTGCTAACAAGGTAATCGTAAACCAGGCCAATGCTTTTAAATTAAATTAAAACTGTGTGAACGGTCATCAGCATAAAATATATTTACACCAGCCACACTCAGAGTGATTGTTCTTAGATGCTGAGGGATATACAGTGATGAAAAAATATGCATTGCTCAGTTCTTTGTTTAACATGTTTGCTCTTTTCCTCACAGTACAGTGCTGTGGATACAAATCCTTTATCTGTGTATATTATGCAGCCCATCTGGAACAAAATTATTAAGGTAAGAATTTTATTTAATAGAAATATCACGTGATAATATAAGATTTTTTTTTCTAAATACAGCATGTATTTTCATTTAAAAATGCATATTGATTAATGAAGCTGAAATTAAGACATCTGTATAAAAGAAATCAAATGTTACAGGATCAATAGCTATATTTAAGACGAATATGATTGGATTTTGAGGATTTTGAGGGTTTGGGTTTTTTTTAGAAAAACAAGGGTGGGGGGGGGTTTCTCATCTCTGTACAAAAGGCATCTGTTTCATTTTAACATCTTTCATTATTACATCTTTCATTAAACAGCTTTGCAGACACTGAAGGGTTTGCTTAGTAGAAATTATTTTTGTGCAGCATATGCCGCCCAACAACAGCCCGGCTTTATCTCTGGGCTCTGCACAGGATTTTATGCAAGTGCTGTCTCATTATCTCCCAAGGGCACTCGCTCGAGGGAGCGAGGCGTTTCCCTAAGAAGCTGAAAATGAGAGCGGTTACCATGATCACCATAACGATTGAAAGATGGCATCTCTTGAATGCATTATGATCTGCAGTTTTTAAAAATAAAACCACTGGCAATTAGTTTTGCTGTTGTTGGCAAAAAAAAAAAAAAAAAAAGGCTGTATCTCAAATAAATACGAACTGTATTGATCTCCAAGGAAGCAATGATTTCTGCATCTGCCTCTTAAATGGAAATCTTTAGATTGGAGCAGATTGGAAAAGCAGACCTTTATGCAAACAAAAGAGGATTAATGTGATCGGAGTGCTATTGGATCTGCCATCTTTGGGTTCTATCATTCAGGTACTGCTTGATAAAGCAGGAAAATCATAATCTCTCATTCATAACCTCAGTGTAATTTCATGAAAGTGTTTATCGTAGAACCATAGAATAATTTGGTTTGGAAGGGACCCTTAAAGGTCACCTAGTCCAGCACCCCTGCAATAAGCAGGGACATCTTCAGCTAGATTTAACTTTGGAATTAAAAAACAACCCAAACATGGGATGAGACAAAAGATGGGAAACAGAATTCAGTCATTCAGTTCAGAGACTCTGTTTCTGTTCCCATTACAATATTGAGGAAAAGCAGGAGGCAGAAAAGCCCCCCCAGCACTCTGGAATCCTGAGCAGGAGATGAGCAGAGGCTTTACTGTGCACCTGCACTTTGGTTTAGAAGATTCATCTGCAATCGTTGAAGGTAGAACATTATCAGCACAAAACTTCCAATTCTTTTTCCTAATGATTTTTTAAATGAATGATTTTTTTAAGCCTCCTTAAATTTTAGCTGAGCATGATTTTGTTCACTTCTTGCTGGAGGAGAACCCAAACCAGAGCTCCTTAAATTTTAGCTGAGCATGATTTTGTTAACTTCTTGCTGGAGGAGAACCCAAACAGGACTGAAAACCTCTTCCAAAAATTGGGAGATCTGAGTACAGCACCAAAAACAGGAGCAGGTGCTGTCTGTACTTCAGCATTTTTTACAGCATGAGCCCTGAAGATGAAGCAATGAATGTTCTGTTTTGCCTTCTGGTGCACAAACATAACAGCGTAATTCTCAGAGATGCATCGCAAGGAATTAAAGGGAAATCATATTGCACTCAGCTTTTGTAGAAGTAGTTGTTCTAATGTTAAAATACAACTGCCAGGTAAAATGAGAATCCTGCGGAGGAGCTGGGAATGGGGAGCTGCAGAGGGAAAAGCACAATTTATGTAATGGAGATTGCAGTAGAGGCCTCTTGGTTGCTCCTTGAGGTAAAAATGAGAACTGAGGGAACATCAAACTTATTGGCCAAAATTTAACTGTTTGTAAAATATTAGCAGGAACTGAGGTTGCTGGGATGGTGGTGTTCCTGGCTCGGTGCTGAATCCAGCTGTGGCAGTAACTGTTGACTGTTGTCCCAGACTCAGTCCAAGAAAACTACTTTTTTTTTTTTTCCCTCTCTTGAATTGTAAGTAAAATAGTGGTATCATAATAAATGTGATCAAATCTTATTTTTAGAAAGAAAAGCCTTGAATGCATTTAGTCATAATTGATTTTTTTTGTAGTTTGTACCTGTTGTATGCATTATAACTGGGATATGAGTACGATCTGGTACATAAAATTCGGTGATCTAGCATATAATATTGAATTTGCGCTCTACAGTATATCATCTTATTTCTATTTAAATAGAACAAAGCATTGCAATAGGAAGATATGGTAAAGTTGGGATAATTTTTTAAGAAGAAGGAATATTGCATCTAACCAGTTAATTCAAATTGGGCAGTACAAATGTGCTTCTTGATAACTCGGAGATGTAATTTCTCTCAGTTCAGACATCCTAATTTGCATAAAATAGCAGACATGAATCAATAATCTTTTAGTTTCTAATCTGGTGGAAATAAGCATTCCATATTTTAACACATTTTAGAGGAGGTTTTTTTTTTTTAAAAAAAAACAACAACAAACCACTAAATTTCACAGAGCCAAGCAAATGAAAAACCCTTTGAGAACAAAGGTTTGGAATTTAAGTCTGGCCTTTCATGTGTCAATTTAGTCCTAATGGCAACACAAGTTTCCCTGTATTCCGTAACGGAGAATTAATTATAAGACATGCTTCTTATGTTGTGAGAAATTAGGGAGAGCCTGACATTAGAGAATATGTGGGAATTTATGAGATGGAATGTTGATGTACATAAGAACTGAAAACATATTGTAATAATCCATCTTATTTACCCGTGGTGGGGACATTAGGAAAGCAAAGAATTTGTGCACTTAGGTTAGAAATTCACCTGGGAATCCTGAGGTGAATTTCCTCTCTTTCATTTTCCCTGGATGCATTTCTTATGCGCTGTATGTATCGTGTGCCTGTGTCAGTCGGGGTGTGATTCCTGGATGTACACACTTCGGAAACCTGTTGAAGCTGGTGCCAAAAGAGAAGGGGAATGTTTCATGCCTGGATTCTATAAGGAGCTTTAAGTACTCTGAGATACTCCTGTCCGTGGCAGCTTTTCTGTCTTGCATGAAACTATAGTAACACCTACATGAAACGATAAAGTAACAACTATCTTTCTCTCCATCTTATTAAAAACTACTCTCATTATGCAACTATACATATAAATAACTAATTCAACGCTCGGTCCTTTTGGCTTTAATTAAGATTTGCATTTTATAGTAAAGCACAATCAAGTGTTCTCTGACAGATAATGGATAGTATTACTGAGCTACTACATGAACTGAATATTCCTCCTCTCTTTGTATTCATGAGAAATCGCATTTGTGCAGGACAATGAGAGGAAAAGGAGGAAATCCCACTGGGACACGCAGGTGTATGCCAGCCCCATTGAAGTCAATTAACTCCCCCCCCAGCTGCCTTTATGAACTTTGATTTTATCACTGGAATTGGACATGAATAGAATTTTAGTGGTCTCGAGTGATTTAGTTAAGGAATATTTCAAGTTTGAACAGAGCTTTATATAAGTATGTGTACTTTACCATTTACTATACAAATAGACAGTCGATATATTAAACCACTGGCTGTTTGTATTAAGACTTCCAGCATGAATGGCTGTAGACCCATTAAAACAGAAAACAGTTAGTATTTTGTGGAATTAAAAAAAAATTTTTTAAAGGTTCAAACATACAATGGTTTTGCCAGACATGATTCTCCCTGGTGGCACGTCCAGTTGTATGAATCGTGTAGTACGTTGACGTATTTGACTTCTACTCTCTGTTAACTAGATAATAAAGATTGCAATGTATACTTCTATAGGATACTAGTAAATGGAGGCTTTGTGTAAATGTGTAAAAAGTTAATCTTTAACAGCCTATAATTTCTGAATTGTGGAATGGGGTAATGGTAGTGTAATGCCAACCCAAAGTATAAGGGCCATTAAATGTAACAAAAGGGATTTTGCAGCTGGAATACTTTCCAAATACCTAGACAGATTAGGTTCAGTAAGGATCAAAAGAGTATTCTTAGGGGTTTAACTGCAGAAGAGGCTGTTTTCCTGAGAGTCGATCTCCTGTAACTTGGTGTATCTGCTAGCCAAGGGATCACAAGTATAGCAACGGGCTTTGATGGTTTCCTTCTTGAAATACATGTTAGCAAGAAAGTGAGTTAAAATAGTGTCTTCATTTTTGCACTGTATAAGCATAAATTATTTCCCGTAATAACTTAATAATGACATTATGACTACTGAGAATGATGAACCTAATTAGAAAGCAGACGTTTATGGCGCCCCACTTTATTTAATAATCAACAATTATTATGAATCATTCAGGAGAAATCAGTCATTTTAAAACAATATGTTGGATGGTATCTGGATATCCATGTAAACAGTTCATTCACAGGCTGTCTTAATGCACTCTTTTGATCTATGATTTGGGTTAGAAGAGAGCAATCTAGAATTTCTCCAGCATCTGTCCTTATCTCTTGTAAGGTCGTAGATATCAGACAAATTCCACGGCAGGCAATTCATACCAAGCCTCCACCTCACTAAGTTTCTGCATCCCCAGGTCGCTGCGTGCTGAGCGCGCCACCAGTTCAGCAGGAGGGGACTGTGCCGTGAAGGGTTCCTCCACAGGTGTTCTCCTAAAGGAGCTTCAGGGAACATTTGCTGTCATTTGTTCCTTAAGGATTTAGAATTGGGCTTGTGAAGACTCCGAGTGATAGACACTGGAAATTTTTTTATAGTAGCTGTATGCATTCCGTGATGTATTTTAAACATTCTAAGAGCTGACATACAGTATTTTAACATTAGCGATAAAATCCTGGTCATAAGGAAAGCAACTATCAGATATTTTTCCCAATGTTATTCAAGAAAACATCTAAGAATTAAAAATGAAAAATACTCATGAATTTTCATATGATTTTTGCAAATTTACAGTGTACACTGTACAACATCAGTTGCGCAATTTCTTCTGACTATTATTAATTGTTCTATAGTAGAAAAAGAGGATCTATTCTGGATAATCAACGAGTCCAAGCATTCACATTTTATATGAAAATTTTTCATGTAGTAATAGGACAGAGGAGATGTAAGGATGTATATACATTACTATGTATTCATCTGTCTGTCCATATAGCTAGGCCAAAGAAATTACAAAACAATTGATTTCAAAACAGTTATTAGTATGTGAAATCATGTAACTTCTTTTTCTTTAATATTGTTTTGTAATATTTTATAGCATTGAAGTACTTGATGTACCTTTTCAGTCTTGGACACTCCAGGGAATCTGATTATAAACCTCCAATATTTTTATATTTTTAATACATTGATACTGTGTTTGAGTGATGGTAGTGGTTGATACTTGTTATTTCTGCAAATATATTCTGTCTAAAAATCATGTGGAGAGTTGTGTATGCTAGTTCTGAAAATATTCTGGAGAAACTGTGTTACTTGGGAAGAGTGTTTATGAGTAAAGAGGGAGACCCTGCAGAAAGTTACTGTCAAGAGAAGTGGGGAGCTTCATTGTAACAGGGAGATCTTCTGAATCTGAAAGTGTAAAGCACTCGGTGTCTGTTGTTGCTGATGGTTAGAGTTGGAAATCACAGACAGATTTTAGAAGAGGAAATTTCCTTGTTACAACGTGGGAATAGAATTCTTAAAAAACCCCTGCCACGTGGATGCTGAGTTACCACACTGGGGTGCTGCAGTCTTCTTTCAGTTGTGAGACACACAATTGCCAGAAGCTCTCCTTGGTGGCTGGGAAAACAAGGATAATGTATAACATAGGAAATACAAGACTTTATAATGACATTTTTACTGTGCAACGATCAGGCAAAAAGATTACATTGGAAAATAGATTTCAGAAATGAAAAGTGTATTTTAATTGGAAAATGGGAAAATATGCACAAATCTGAACATTGCTGATGTAATATACAGGCTTCTCCTTTCCTGTTTAAAAAAAAAATAAAATATTTAATTAAAATGGGACTTAGAGTTTGAAATATAATTTTTCTTAGATTTTTTTTCTTTCTTTTTTTTTTAACAGATAGTGCCTTTGTGGATTGCTCCCAACCTGTTAACATTCTCTGGATTTGTCATGATTTTAGTTAATTATTTTCTAATATCTTTTTATGACTGGGACTACACTGCCTCAGGTAAATATCTTCATACTGTAATTTTTCAGAATTAATGAACTGCTTATGTCATACTTCTGAATGATACAGGGAGGTATCAGATATTCGAATCTTCTGCTCATTCCCTTAATGAGGCTCCATGTGCAGATAGGTGGATCTGACCTCACAATTGGCATTATAAATTTACATCATTTTATTGAAGAACCTCATTTAATTTCATCCCTAAATAGGCATTTCAGTGTGTGCTGCTTGAAGTCTATGATAATATCTCATTTTAGTTAAAGTGCATTCCAGGATTTAAATACACAACCAAAACCTACCCTAGTGTTCTTCATAAAATTTTCACTGGTTTCACATTTCCTAATACCTAAGTCGATGTCTGAATGAGTTAATTCCCCTTTCATTAATTCATACCCCCTGACATTCAAGACTTCTTCTAGACAAAGAAGAAATAGTTTTTAAACAAGTATGTCTTGAAATTATGACTGTCAAAGTCCAAGTCCATATTTGCTCCTCATGACAGACCAAGTCAAAAGCTTTTTGGAGCTGATTGCTCCTGAGCGTAGGACATGTTTTGTTCTGCACTTCTCAGACCAGCTGTTGGACCCTACAGTAAGTACGAAGCATCTCCCAGGTGATTAATATATAAAAAGCTTTGTTTTTCTTTAAATTCAGCAATTTGGTGAAAATGTAACTATTTTTCCCTGAAACAATTATGTTTGGGGGGGTTTTGCTGCCTTTAATTTCTTATGCCCCTGATTATATTTAGGAGGTACCCTTTGGCATGAGCTGTTTGTACATTTATCATGTCAGTTCTAGAGGCACGGATGGGGTTAGCAGTTTCAGGTCAAAAGCAGTCCTGTATGAGCATTTAAGTTTTGTTTTCAGGACAAGCATGTTATGTAGTTATCTGGTCTCATCCTTAAACAGTTGGGTTTTCTATCAATGCAGCTGATATTTACTAAGTTCTGTAATAAAAGAGCATCCAGTACAGAGTCACCATCCCTGGCGGTATTTAAAAGACAGGTAGACATAGTGCCTAGAGATACAGTTTAGTGATGGCTTTTGTCAGTGTTAGGTTGATGGTTGGACTCAATGATCTGAAAGGTCCCATCCCATCTTATGCCATCCTATCCTATCTTTAATGAGGTAGTTTTATCTTGACACATTCCCAGTAGATACATGTTGAACTTAGAGCCATTTGAAATGGTGATTAAGTCTGTTGGAGTTGAGACCGCTATGTGTAGTTTGCAAACCTCTTCTTGATTTCACATGAGAACAGTGCCCATCATTTCCCCATTGATTGAAAACGTTCATGCAACCTAACGAGCCTTTAGAGTATGGTATATCAATCCCATACCTAGGATCAGAAATAGAAAGCTCAATTTCCTGGACAGCTGGTTTTTATTCTACAGTTTGAAAATTTGCAGCAAGGAGCCAGGAATTGCCATCTATTTTTTCAGAGTGACAAGGTGAGGCATTGAGAGAAGAGTGGTCAGGACACCACTGTAGGTCCTGGTGTCTCCCCAGTCAGTGAGGACTCACCTCTGTGCAGGTGTTCCCTGTGTTCCGTGCCCAGTGCCAGAAACCTGAGAGGGCTTTGCATATACAGTTGTTTAGTGCTGGTGCAGTCCTTATTGGATTATGTTTTAAGTTAAATAGAACGCTCGTTGGAAAAAAGATTGATTTCTTTAAAAGAGCAACAATAACCGTGGGTTATTGCTATCAGCAGAGCAATTACAGAGCCCTGAGTTCTGCTCAGTTCAGCTTTCTTTTCCTTTTTTTTGAAGGAGAAAAAAAAGTTTCAATATTTGTGCTAGCCAGCATACAAAAGTTTCCTGTTCAGCAAAAGTGCTATACAAACCCCACGTTGACACTAATGATAATGATCATGCTTGAAAATGACATTTTTTTTGTCTTTAGATATTACATAAACGTTAACTGATTTGTGGATGGATAGTCTTCCTGAAAGAAGACTTCCTACCCATGAAAATCTTTACCCTACTTTATTATGTGCAATACTGGACTAATTTGAGGATGGAAACCCCTCTACCTTATCTTCTCTTTACGTATAAACACATTCAAACATTGCTTCTTTGGTAGAGCTTAAGGTCAAAACCAACTACTTCGACCTCTTTGATGTATTGGGCTGATCAGTGGCAGCTTGCTCCTATGTGTATGCATATCTGGGTGGGTTTCTTTGATGTTAACCACAGTTACACTGACTCACTGCCCCATTTATTTCAGGTACCAGTCCTGGACTTGTTCCCACCTGGGTGTGGCTGTTCAGCGCCTTTACCACCTTTTGTGCTTACGCTTTAGGTAAAGTACAGGGAAACAATTTATACCTCCGATGGCTTCACCTAGTTTTATCTACTAGTTCTCTAGTGCTGATGATGAGGTGAAGAGGCATTGTGGATAAATTGTGGATAAATTATGGATCTCTTGCCAAACAGTTCTCCGAGATTTAAAAAAAACAACCACCACACCAAAAAACACCCATAAGCCTAAAAAAAACCCAAGCAACAGCATTTTTGATTATATATTAGAGGTTTGAAGACTAAAGCTCTTATCCCTCTTGAAAGTTCAAACAGTTTTAGAGGAACAGTGGAAGTCATTCTGTAGCAGCAGTCATTGTTGCTGGGTTTCATAAAAATCTTTGGCCCTCGATGACGACATCCTGAGAAGCTCCTTGACACTGGCATTAGCAGAGGGTGCTTTCCAAAACAGGGAGAATAAAAGGCAAAGGAGAGAAAAAGGAAAATGAGCATTGCGTTGTGTTTTAAACTGTTAGAGGCTTCAGTGCTTACGGCGTGTGTCAGGAGAGATGGTGTGAATGTGATGATGGCCCTGAGCTTCTTATGGAGATGATGTACCATTTTTTTTTTTATTTTCTGTTGCTGTTTTTCTCCCATAACACCTACACCTCAGTTTCAGTTTCACATTCCATTTTTACCTTTTATATCAGAAAATACATGACTGTATTTTTAGGTACATTGCACCTTGCTGTGCAGTGGTGTGAAGACATAGACCTCAACTGCTGCAGATCTGGGAGTGAGATCCACACTAGCACGGCTTTTTCCCTTTCTTTTCCAAAGCTGACCCATTCCAAAGTAGTCTCTCCACAATGTGGTGCAATAGAGTTAATTTTGGGGGGACTCAAGGTATTATATTGACATGGACTGCACTGTGCTGTGTAAATGTACTCCCTCTTTGGAGCTGGTTCTTACAAGACCAGCTTTGCAGAGGGCAGCCGTGCATTTTTGTGCCAACTTAAGATACCCAGGCTAGATATAGGTGTGTTCTGGATGTACACCACAGTGCTGTGCAAAGATGCTGGCCACTTTTGGTGTCAGACCCATGTATGTAGAGCCATCTTGATTCACCTGGAGGTATCCCCTTGTGCAGACATCTCCCTCTGCAGTGTAAATGCCTTGGCATTTCTATCAAACTGGCGAGTTTGTGCCAAAATTAGTGTGTTCAGGATATCTTTGTGTTTGTACCATAAAAGTCACTGGGACAACCGTCCCTTGAAGCTGACTACCAGTCAGATTTCCCTAGCAGCTCTCGATAATCATTAGCAGAAGCAGCAGTTTCTTTTGTGGAAACCATTCTGTATGAAATTGCATGGAATTTAATGAAGTGGCTATTGTTTCATAAATAGGAATTACATATTGGAACTGTTAGTGTCTGACACCCTGGAAAGCTCATTGGAAATTCAGCTTCTGAGATGCTTAATGTAGATGTTATTTGTCAGCGAGGCCGATAGTTCCTAATACATGGAAGACAAGGATTATGATGTTGACAGTCTAAGCTATAACGAACTGATGTATATGTAGATTTTTGTGTGTGCTGTCCAAGCCGCTTCATGAAATATTTAGTCTCAGATTTAATTCTGCATGGCCAAAGTTTTCCCTTTGGAAGACTGCAAAGAGTCATAATAACTAACCAAATATGCAGCTTTAATCTCTCTCAGCTTCTTTTGAATGACACAGTTACTCTCTCCGATTTCCCTAGCATGCTGCTCTTTTTTGCCCCTTTTGTTAAGGTGGTTTGATATCTTTTCCCTTTCTGTTATTTTGAATTCCACTGTTTAAAAGTTACATAAACTTTAGTAAAACCGAAGATTTATGAGTCTTCAGGAGACAAAATCATAATACAAGAATTCTAAACCAATGGAAGTGTTGGACAATGTCTGTCCGCTATTGAACGTACACCATTGTTGACAAGAATGATTTAAAACTGAAATCTAAATCAGAAAATATTTTCACTCTCTTAAAAAGCTAGGGAAACCACATGGAAAATGTGGGTAAAGATTTGTGAAAATCCAATTTTGCGTATGTGTTAAACCGTTCCTGAATTTCTCTCTACACCCATTATAATCAGAAGTACTGTGTTTCATGACACTGTTACAAACCTAGCTCTTTTTAGTAAAGCTGAACTTGCTGCAAAATGAAAACCACTCTTTCACTGTGATGGACCTATTTTAGTATCAAATGTGAATATTCTTTTGAGACAACCTAAAATAATTTATGAACGGACCGATCTTCTATCGTTTTCATTTTTAAAAAGTGTTACCCCTGTAAACGAATTCTCTCTGATTTGGGATAGAAATTCTTGAAATATAAAAAACCATGAACTGTTTAGGGATGTTTACATACCTATGCGCTAGTTATATTTCAGAAGCATCCTTTAAAGAATTTTGATGTCTATCACAACCCTATTCAAGTAACCTCAAGCCTATAGAGTTTTCTTTCTGCACGTTTCAGTAAGATGCCAACAATTCGATGGGAGTGTTACTGGAGGGAGAACGTGGCTCTAGAAGGGGGAAAGACATATTTGAAATCCTCTGTGAGATCTTAATTTTTTTAGAGTTGTGAGAACCGTCTCAAGAGATTGGTATCTGAGCAGAGGATTTCTCACAGCTGTTTAGGTATTACAATAGGGAGATAGTCTAAAATCTGCACAAAATGAAATCCCATGTTTTCCTGATTTAGATCCCTGAAGTATATTTACATTAAACAAAACTCAGAGTACTGCCAAATAATCTGGAGAAGTAAGTAGCATATGATCTATAACAGCTGTGGAGTCTTTGGTCTCACTCTGCTGAATTGTCTCTCCAGTCATTCTTGGGTTACTAATGCTATCGATGGCTAATAATTGTTAGCTATAGTACCATCCAAGTAACATTAACAAGAAAAAAGTAATCCTTCTCCATGTTATTTTGAGATTCAGGATAACAAAAAGTAATCTGTAAGGTTTGTTCTCTTTTTCCTAAGGGGTTCATCCTGCATATTTTGACTTAACTTTAAGAGGAAACTATTGCTAAAAGCCCCACCAGCACAGCCTCAGAGAAGAGGCTAAGGGTATGGTTTGACAATAGAACTAAGAAAGGTCACAGCTGCTGGACCCCCTACCTCCTCCTCCCCCTCCCTTCATTCACCTCCCCTCCCTTGTGCCATCTCCCTTGCTTTTTGTACCATTCACAGCTCCAATTCCCTTCAGTGACCCAGAAGAAAACGCAATGTTTGCTGTCTTTCCACCAGCTGAGCAGGCTGCAGGTCCTCCCCTGTTCAACAGCAGCGAACTCTCAGACCAACTCAAACCCTATTGTCCAACCACATCCTCAGAGTGAGACCCAGGACAGTGTTTGGGTATCTTTCAAATACATCTATCAAATGTTAAAAGTGGTGAGCACATAACTCACTGTAAAAGTAAGGTATTCTTGCCTCCTAAGATTTCAATCAAAAGACTTCGAAGACTATCTTAGTTAGACTTATAAGACTATCTTAGACTTATAAGACTGTCTTAGACTTATAGATAAGATCTTATAAACTTATAAGACTATAAGACTTAGACTTAAAAGACTATCTTAGGTAGGCACACACACACACAAAAATTGTGAAATTTGCCTTGAGGTTGCCATTTAACTTAGTCATCAAGGCAATTAGCATCAGGCAACCTAAATGTCTTCGTGAATCTACCCCACAAGCAGTCTTCTCCTGAAGTCTCAGGGGGTCCACAACACTGATGGATGGGTGAGAAGCCCTGTGGACACTTTTCAGCACTGTCATTGAGAAACTGATGGCAGTAGTGTGCGTGTGGCAGTAGTGAAGTGCATGTGAGGAAAGTGACTCCTTTTGTTGGGCTCTTATTCCTTTGTTTCTTTTCCTCTCCCAATCCTTCTAGACTCCATAGATGGGAAGCATGCTCGAAGGACTCAGTCCAGCACTCCTCTGGGAGAATTATTTGACCACGGGCTGGACAGCTGGGCTACCTCCATTTTTGTGCTTTCTTTTTTTTCTGTCTGTTCCCGTGACAACGGGAAGACTGGAGTTTCCGTATATACAATGTATATATATTTAAGCATCGTCTTGTTTAACTTTATGTGTTCGCACTGGGAGAAATATAACACAGGAGTCCTTTTTCTTCCTTGGGGATACGATATAAGCCAAGTGGTAAGTATTTATCATTCCTGTTTTGGTTTTATTTTTTAAACTGTGTTAGTGTTTTCATAATATTGCAGAAATAGGAAAATAGAGCTCAAGGCAAATGTATTTTGCCAAGAGTTTGAATGTGAAATAGCAGAACCCTAAAAGAAATTCAGAAATACTTCCTGCGTTTGCAAAGAAGGGATGTTCTTGAGCAAATTGTCAGCATCAGAGATTCGTTCCCTTGCAGGAAAGAAAAAAGGCTCACAGCAAGCCTAGCAGTCAGATGGTGCCCATGAGAATGACATTTAACTGCATTTGATTTATGGTATCATAACAAATTTTATTAACAAAAATTATTATGCTATCCGAAGCCATAAGCAGTTTTCCCACCAACACTAGGTTCTGAGGCATGAAGTGAATTAGTCCAAGCAGTGTTTATTAACAATAATTATAGTTAGGCCATACTAGACCTCAATTCTACCACCTCTTAGCATCAAATGTGGAGATGGAAATAGCATTGTTCCTATACAGTGAGCATCAACTGTTGTCAAGTGAGTTTTATCCCTGAAAAAAAGTCAAAACCATACCATTAGAGGTTTTCTCTCTGGAAATGGCATTCAGTAACGAGAATTACATATCAGCCCACAGCCAGTCACCCGCTAAGTCCTTGACCGGCTTACAGCCCTACCTTGAGGTGGACCTCTTCAGAAACACGCCCAGGGCACCATGGTGAGTGGTGGCCTCAGTGCACAAATGAGCAGCAGCAGTTACAAGCTCATTGCGCTGCCGAGGGCCCAGCTCTGGGATTTCTGGGATGACTTATCTATTTCTTAGATAGCCAGGCTCTTGCAGCCTGAAGAGCACAGTCCCAGTCTTCTGAGCTTCCTGTCACAGGCATGAGATGAAAGGTACAGCCAAACATACATAATTGAGAAGAAGTTTGACAAATATTCAAATGTGTGTTTTAATGGAAATATAGTATTTGAATTAATGGCTGCAGATGTATTGCTGTAAACATAATCAGAATCCAGTGGTTTGAGAACAACTCAGAGACGGTGGTCCAGCTGTGCTGCATCTGTTTTGTCCCCGAGAAAATAGATTTTGGGAGAAGCTGGCTCAGGACTAAGACATTAGGCAGCCAGCTGGTCCGCAAGTTTCAGCCACATCTGTGTAAGGCTCCTTAGTGAAGCTCTTCCAGCAGGAGAGGAATCGCTGTGTTCCAACTTAATTTGTGGCTCAGATGATCACTGTAGATATACACGTGCATGTTTAGAAAGATCTTCTGGGTTTCTACAGCATCCGAACTGTATTAGTGGTTACATTTGGGAGCGGGTATCAACTAGCAGAGCAGTGCAGTTAACTCTGTCAGTGCCTTTTACTGACCTGTGCCTCTGTCGCTGCTTTCCCATCTGGGAACTAATGGTAATAGCATTTCCCTGCCTGACAGATGTGGCGAGGCTGAGTTTCAGTAAAGTTTGTAAACTGCTTCGATTAACTTGGATGCAAGGTGCTAACAAGTGCTATTTCCTGTTCCCCTCTGATGCTGAATTGCTGTCCTGCATGCTCGCTTTATAGTAACTTCTGTGATGACTTGCCTACAGTCAAAATGATAAGCATGTAGATGTAAGGATTTTTTGATGCTGTATAGCTTAATCATCAACAGCAGTGGAAGACTGTACTATTCAAATGTCTGTATGTCAGTTTTCCCATCTGTAAAAATTAGCTTTTGTAGTTGTGAGTGCCTGCAAACAAAGATAGGACAGGATTTGTAGATCAAGGTGGTAATTTTTCCATTAGTCCAAACTACATTTCACAGGCACCAGAAAGTATACAATGTATTTTTTTCCAGCTGTACTAACTGGTCTAGTAAAAGATCTTAATTCTCCTACAAAAATTACCTTGCTCTTGGTTTGTAAGCCCATTCAGCAAATTTTGTAATAAAGGTAGCTTTTCATCTCCAGCTACTTGGAGGAGAGGATTCTGAGGACATTAGCAAATGGCTGATGATGGGTAGGAAAGGGAATGCTCCCCTTGCTGCTTTTTTGGCCGCCACTTCTCTGCCAGATATTCCCAAAGTTACAATCAGAGGCGGAGAGCACAGAAGCTGCTTTCAGACTGATTCCCAGCATTTATTTCCCTATTTCCTCCATGGCATTCCTAGCTGGATTGCTGCACCACTGCCCCTCTCTTGCTCTGCCGTCAGTAATCTCACCTCCAGCATGATGCTATTGCTTTGGCATCTCAGACATTCAGGTGCTCTAGCCCCCTGCTTCTGCTCTTAAATTTTATGGCAGCCAGGAACTTTGGGCTTCACTACCACCACAAAGCTCAGGAAATACAGTAATTAGTATAAAGCTGAACTGGCAGGGAGCTCCCAGGGCGCTGCTGCTGAGTCAGCTCCCCTGGCCGTAAGCGCAGGCAGCCCCTCGCTGGCTCTGTGTTACCCAGGGTGTAAAAAGAGCTGCTGCTCCTCCTGAAAAAAAACCCTCATCCTAAATGGAGAAATCAGTGGGACTTAATGCCGGGCACATTTTTCTGCCACTCGATGACTCATCAGAATTGGTAAACCTAATTACGCTAGCTGGGCTGTAATTGGCACTCCAATTAGCTTTGATTACAGCAGCCAGCGGTTTAGAGGAAGCTGTGGTTTGTAAACTTGAAAAATGGCTGTAATGTGTCTGAGAGATGCTTGGTCAGAGGACTGTTAGGTTTGTGGATCCAGAATCGAGGAGGCGGCACCAGCAGCAGTGAAAACTTCCTCCCTCTCCTCCCTCCAGCACAAGGAGGTACCTCCTGCTGGGCAGAAGAAGATGGGGGGAGAGGAGCCTCTTTACACCATGGCATCTCATCTAGACAATTTTCTTAGACTTTTGAGTAAGCACACAGACTAGAAGCCCCAAAAAGTCCTGGACTGAAGAGAAGGCTAAAAAACCAAACCTTTGCTATGTTCTGTGAGAAATTCTCTTGGATGTATCTTGTGAAAACAAACGCTATTATTTTTGTCACAAGCCCAACCAAAGAAAGCTAATATCTGTACATTAAGTTTCTTGGAGAAAAAAAGACCAAGCTATCCTAAGAAATTAAACTTTCAGGCTTCCTGCCATATGTTATTTTTCACAGGCATCCTCTTAATTTTTTTAAAAAACCCCATTTTCCTCCTGATTAATATCCCTCTAATGAAATGCTCCCCTAATCCTGCCACTGTGGCTAATAAGCCACTGCAATTGAGTTCATAGCAGGGGAACAAAATATTAATTTTTCCTTAATATGTTATGGTGATACCTCTGCTTACATTGGTCCTGCCTTAAGCCTAAGAGGGAAGTACCCTTTATATTCTTAAATAAAAGTTTTAAAGTGAAAATGAGATCTGTGTGAGAGCTGGAGTGACCCAGGTGATTCCACGCTCCTGCCTCCCTCTGCCCAGCCAAGAGGGCAAGCTCCTAAAAAACACAAAAAGGCACTAGGCAACTTTTTCTGGCCGTTCCCTAGCCCTGTAAGGAGAAGATGGCCAGAATTCCTATGTCCAGTCATGGCTGAAGGCATGGATGCTTGGACCATAAGCCCCAGGTTCTTGGTTTGAGATGCTTTCCCAGCTGGTCCTGCCTGATGGCTTTGGTTGGTCCCATCCAGGCTCTCAGGGAGAACACTCTGCTGGCCCCGAAACTCTAAATAAATGAACGATTCAACTGAAACATTGTAGAACTTACTCCTTCCTTTCAGTCAAAACAGAGGAAGGGTTTTTTTTTGGATGCTATATACCAAGTTTTCTTTGAAAAGTAGCTTACAGAACTCATGCTGAAACAGGTTTCATATGACCTTTTCCTGGGAAGCACCGTGGCAGCCAGTGTTTCAGGAACCGGCAGAGAAATCCCCAGCAACGCAAGCGCACATCACATCTTTAATAACCTTCTGTCTCTTCTGAGGGGCAAAAAAAAAAGTCTCTATTAAAAAGGAAAAAGAAGATTTTGAGGAATTATACTGCCTTAGGGTTATACAGAATTCTCCCAGTGCCCCGTTAAAGAAGTAACATTCTGATTTTACAGGAGGAGAAAGGTGACTGTTGTGATTTACAAAGCTGTGATGGTATAGGGAGCCACTGCTTAGAATTCAGCTGTCCTACTATTCAGCCACAGGCTGCCTTATCAAAGGGCCTACAAATTAACACCATGCCAGATTTTTGTCTGCATTAAGTACCGTTGCCTCCTCACAGATAAGGCCTCGGCAAGCCACAAATTTCCCTGGTCAGATGCTGTGAGTTGGAATCCAGGATTGTGCACATCTGACACTAACCTGCTAGACAGTCCTTACTTGTGTTATTTGATTTGGACTTCTCATTTTACAGCAGGTTGTAATTATTTTTATTCGCTAAAGACTAGATTTATATCTGAAAAGTACTAAAGCTGATTGATGCCAGAGAGATGGATAGAAACCCTGGCTGTCTTTTCTTAAGTAGAATTATTTGGTTGTACTTAAGAACACTGCTGTACATTTGAATTATTGTTTTTTTACCACCAGCGGTCTGAAAACAGTCATGAGTTTATGCAGCTGATTAACATACTTAGCTTTTGTCTAATAATTTTGACAATCTTCAATTTTTTTAAAAACAGCTTAGGTCGAGGGACACAGCCATTTTCTCGTCCTTTCAGCTTTGTAAAGGAGGTTTTTGAGACTACCTCAGTGGAGTCAGAACTGGTTATTCTTACTGATTTCAGGGACACCAGGGTCTCAGTTAGGAGCCCTTAAAAACCAGCACGCCAAAAATTTGAAGCCAAAGAGCATTTTTCAAGCCCAGCATCTGTTAATTAAGAGGCAATCTCAACCTGTGAGTGCTGCATCACCAAATCCCAGGGCAGGGGCTTCCCCTGAGGGAGTCCCTTGCACTGACACCCCTGTTGTAGAGGTGTGCTGACCTCTGACAGTGACACTCATGGATGGGCTGCCCCAAAGTACTGACTGTATTAACCAATAATATGGGTCTTCAGGGGACCTTTAAATTAAAGCAATGAATTTAATTTAGAAGGCTGGAAATGTGTTTGTTGACGTTCAAAATGAATAACCCCCCCCCCCCCAATATAGTAAATAATGAGCATTTAAAAAACCTAAACAAAAAATAGTAAGATCTACTATTTGGGACTGTTTAGTTTGAGGAAGAGGAGGCTGAGGGGAGACCTCATCACTCTCTACAACTACTTGAAAGGACACTGTAGAGAGGGTGGTGCTGGTGTCTTCTCACAGGTAATCAGCGACAGAACGAGAGGGAATGGCTTCAAGCTCCAACAGGGTAGGTTTAGACTGAACATTAGGAAAGAATTTTTCACAGAAAGAGTGGTCAGACACTGGAACAGGCTGCCCAGGGAGGTGGTTGGGTCACGGTCCCTGGATGTGTTTAAGAGGCGTTTGGATGTGGTGTTGGGGGACATGGTGTAGGGGAGGACTCAGTAGAGTAGGGTAGATGGTGGGACTCGATGATCCCAAGGGTCTCTTCCAACCTGAATGATTCTATGATTCTATGGTAGGAGTAAAACTGTTAAATATCTGTCATCCCAGAGAGAGAAGCTGTATTGAACAAAAAATAAAAGTTACTGAATGATACCTGCAAATAGATATATGAATATACAGTCTTCTAAATGGCGTTATAATTAACATAGATAATTATAATTCAGAGCTGAATCAAATGGTTGCAATTCGTTGTCAATTCAAGTCTAGGAGTCAATTCAAGTTGTCAATCGCTGTCAATTCAAGTTCAGGAGGCTGAGACATTTACATTTTGTAAAATGTAAATGTAAAATGAAACACCTGGCTTCGTGTGGGTCCTGTAGCAAAGCTAAACAGCTGAGAACAAACCAGCCTCGAGAAAGAGAGGGGCAGCAGCCCCACCAGCTGGGTGCTGGCAGCAGGAGGGGTGCAGGGGGTGGGTGGCCTGCTCCAAGCCAGGAAAAGGGTTTCAAAGGAGAGAGAGGTCCCTTGAGGAGGTGGGATCAAGGGCACAAGGGCTTGGGAACACTGCATCATGGTCAATACTGCACTTGTACGTTACACACCTAAAGAGGTACAACTTCAACAATTCGTGCCATTAACTGTCAGTAGGCAGTGCTGCTGCAAGCACTATGATGGGTGTGAAGCTGTAGGAGCTATAGGGTTTTGATTGCATTAAGATTTCTGACATCAGCTGGGTCACCAAGTTAACTCTGAGGAGAGGGTAGAAACTACATTTCCATCACTACTGAAACTGCTGGCACTTCAGCGTGTTAAGTGACTCATCACTCTCCTATTTGAGTCCTTTCACTCCTAATGAAGTTTGACTGCTTGTTTCTGTTTCTGTCCTGCAATGATGTTATCTGTCAAACACATTAAAAATCAGGAAAGGCTTCAGCTCCCCCCTGGCTTTTTTTTTTGTTTTGTTTTTGTTTTTTTTTCTCTTCTCCACATTCAATTGATTGCTTTTGTATTATTTCAGGTGAGCTTAGGTTTTTTTCCCCCCTCAGTTATTCTGACATGACCAGTTCAGGGGTCTGAGCTGCAAAAGTAGCCACATTGCTAATTCTGAAGTCTGTATGCAGACACAAGAAAGTGCTTGTGCAGTGGGGAGACCTGCCATTAAGAGGGGACTTAGAAATTAGGTGTTTTGAAAAGGTAAGTCAGTAACACTTACCACATGCCAGCAGATGCACACATTAGCAGGGAAGTTCTTTGCTTGCAGCATTTCAGACATTTTAAATAATTTTGTTGGTGACCCTGGAAGCTGCTTCACTGTTTAGAAGTAATTGTTTTGGGATGGCAGCATAACATCCTGTAAAGTGGGTACAGGAGGAAAATAACAGATTATTTTTTTTTTTACTCTTGCATTTGTATTAAGATGATAAGCAAAATTCTGTGCCTTTAGAAGTAAGGAACTGAAAATGTGTTATCCTTTTTCTATAGGTATTAATAGCAGCATATCTGCTCACCGGTGCTGTGGGTGTGGAAGTCTGGCAGAAGCCTTTCCTGTTTGGATACTACATTACAGACATATTAGTAATCTTGCTTATAGGTAAGTGTCTAGATCCATGCAAAAATGTATTGCTTTTAAATTATTTTGATTAGCTATTTCATGTATTTCTTTCTTTTTTTTTCCCCTTTTCTAAGTGTTGGCTAGTTCAAAACCCATGTGAATAGAGCTGATTAAAAGGGCTAATACTAGAAAACTTAAAAAAAAAGTAGACAATTTTGGAAACACTTTTCCTTGTTGAATTACTGTCTGTTGCACGCAAACAACACAGGAAATGTTCCTTATCTGCACGTGCAGCTCAGTGCCGTGTGCTGGCTGGCTCTCAGGGGCTCAGGAACTCCTGGTGTCACTCAGCTAAAAAGTCACTCACTTATACATATATTATAAGTTTAATGTTTTGGCCTGCAGCACGCTATGCTCCAAAACTTTATGGACAGAAAAAAATAAAGGTATGATTTAAATAATCTTAGGAGGCGCAATTGGAAATCTGAAAAAGAGCCATTTGGTTTGCTAAGCTCTTCTTTAGAATTACTTCTCCAACAGGAGTGATGCATTTTTCATGGGCAGCACCAGCCTGTTTGTTCACTATTTGGTACAGTCAGTGTAGTTTGAAATAAGCACGGAGCATTTTTCAGCTGCTATAACTAGACTGAGAACAAGAGCAGTTACATTTCAATGAGTTAAAAACACGGTAATCTTAGCTAAAAATGTGTGTGTGCAAAATGGCTTTGATGTGTTGCTTGGAAGGTGAAGAAACTAGTGTATCAATTGTAGGGATTTTTATATAAGCACACAAGTGATGAGAAGAGAGCACAAAAAGAAGTGTTTCATACAGTCTGCACTTGCATCCCAAGAAACATCTTCAGGCCTTGAGTCAAATGGAGAGCTTAGATACAGGCAAAGTTGACCCTGACTAGGAGCTATATCTGAGCATTTTGGGGGCAAATTTCGAATTCACTGCATTGACAGTGAATTCTGTCTCTCACCCGCCTTTCCCATGGTGAGGTCTTCAGCAAGTACTGCCTCGAGACTCAGTGCTGCTTCCCAGGATTCCCAGATTGGAAAGGACCCTGCGTTCAGGCTGTGCTCTCTGTGAGCTGTGTGTACAAGGACATGGTCTTGACAGTCCTTTATGCTGTACCCAGAGTACAAAATTGATCATGTGAGACTAAGATGGTACAGTCTTTTTCTTTTTGTGGTCGGCTGAGTTTTAGGCACTCTGATGAAAAGAAAGGAAGGAAGAGGAAAAAAACTGGTTGCCTTTACAGTAGTCAACGAATTACTTGGCTTGACCGAGGTCTAGGTATGCCATGCCCTCTGGTGGCTGGCAGGGCATGAGGGGTAGGGAGTGATTTGTGCTCTGGAAGGAGCACGGCGAGTCCAGGAGAGATGGGTGCTGGCAGGTGAGAGCTTTAGGTACCAGCATGGGTAGCTTGCAGCAAGATAGCTTTGAGACCTCCTGGTTTTCTGTTGGGTTCTCACGATGGGCCGGTCCCTTGAACACGCTCGTTCTGTGCTGCCCACATCACTGCTGCTGATCCTGCCTCTCAGGCACACGACAGCCTGTTCAGTGAGTACACTGATGGCTTCCCATGCGCTTGGGAAGCCATGGATGAAGGTTTAATTCAAACCGTTCAACAGATTGGGCAGGTTTGTGGTAGGGAAGCACGTTGATGTCATCAGATCTGCAGAAACGAACATCCTTTTTCATACTCTACCAAAACCAGCTGCAAAGCAAGGTTTGATGGACTATTCCATTAGCATTAGAAAGAAGTACTGCTGCTGTCTCCTGTGGCACACTTGCATGAATGGATCAGCAAGCAGAGAACTGAGTATTTCTTCCATCATTGTCCGAAGCAGAGTAGGCATAAGTGAGAGCCAAAAGATTTCTTTAAAAACATTGTCTCTCCCACACTATCTGCAGTGCCATTAACAGGGCAACTTTTGCAGCTTAATTATTGTTAAATATGGGTTTAAAGTATTCAAGAAATTATCTTGATTGACTCGATATTACAAAGTTGTCGAGGCACTTAGTAAATCTCTTAAAAACCGACATCAAATTGAAATATTAAAATAACAGAATCCTTTCGCTGAGGATCACGGTGATCCAGGAAGCGCTGTCGTTTCACCACAGGTTGGAATCTCAGCTCAGCAATAGCAATTAAGGTGGTTAACATGGGATAACCTGTGTGCAGTGAATCTGGATATATCAAGTTTTTAGAAGCTTGCAGTAAATGGCAGGACCCCACTGCGACTGCAGGGAAAGTATCGGTCTAACCTACACCAAGGGCCAAACAGGCAGGAAGATTGAATTATTCTCTCCCTTAGGGAGGCTGTGGATCCATTTGTATGAGAGAGCCCACTCTCTGGCGTGCTCAGTTAAATGCCTTTGTGGCTAGTTAAAACAAAGGGATATAGTGGGCCTCTGATTCTTTTTACAAGTTAGTTTCCCAGGACCCCAAGAGGAGCCGTTAAACCGTAACTGGCTGTCCTTAACCATCTGATGGGGGTTAGTAGTCACTAGTGGTCCTTCTAACAATGAACCTGTAGCTGCTCCATCAATGCTTGGCAGAGGTTTTGCAAGTTGTTTCGTGCTCTTACTGTTCTGTACACAACAGGAGTTCAGCTGCTGAGCCGTTGCTTCTCCGAAAACAGCTGGGCTTTAGCTAGTACCTTCTGTAGTGGGAAGGAATCCAAACGAGATGCACAAGAGTGGAGTTTTTCAGATGTCTTTCCTGGAATTTCAGGGAAAAAAAAAAAAGAAATCATAGCCCACGTATAACCTAAGGATGAACTCTGCAAAAACACTTCCTCAGAGGAAGCTGTGGTATCACCAGGTGACACTGACTGAAAATAATGGAATTTTTATCAGGTGCCAGAACACACAAAGATATACACAAAAGTGCAGCAGTACCAGTGTTTAGATTAGATGTTTTATGAAAACCTCCCAAGAGAGAGCTTTATATATGTCCCTGGGAACTGTCTAGCACACTGTGAACACCTGTGGGAAGGTCAACTCTTGGGCTGCCGAACAGTGACCTCGGAGGACTCCCCTGTGAAGGAGAGAAAGTTTTGTGTGGTGTTTTATGGGATTTTTTCAACCAGCCAGAGAACAGAAACCCATACTTTTCACAGGCAGTGAATGCAATTCCAGCCTGCAGCTCCAAAACACACACCTAGCTGAACACCAAACAAAGGAAGAAGGCCATTCTCCTCTTTCCAGAGTGTGTTGTCCTGGCTTCTAGACAGAAACGCCTTTTCTCTCCTAGCATGAAAGTAGCCAGACCTTTCTAAAATTATGTGCCTGTGTGCTCAGCTGGAACTAATTACCTCAGCTCTCAGCAAGGCTCCTGTGAATGACACTCCAAAAGCTCTCTTGGGATTTAACCACCATTGTCCCGTAGCGTTATCTGGCTAACTAGGGTCCCTTCAAAGACCAGCACGGGGCTGAGAGCTATCATTTATTTTCACCCCTCTAGGGTATCCCAAATGTCTAGCATTGCCTGTCACTGTGCTATCAGGTTGAGAACAATATAAAATATTTACAATAAGCATTTTAAAACAGTCAGTTCCCCATATAAAGTCTAGTACCACAAATGATACTGCAGAATTCATAAGAAGGTTTTCACTGACAGGTAAACATCGGCAATTCAGGGAGGGGCATTACTAATTGATGATAGTTTCTGTCTCACATTGCAATTAAATGACCTGTAATAGGTGCATGTTCTGAATGAAGCATTGTTCCTTCTTGGGACATTCATACTTGCTCTTTCTGAGATGGATTTTGTAATGTCTAACAAAATTTGAGTTCAGGCTGCAGTCCTCGCTTCACTGGAGACTTTTATATGTCTGTTTTCCTCCACCTGGCTTTCATTTCCATGCAACTTAAAGGAAATTTCTTTCAATCTATTTGTTCAGAATTGACCAAAGTGCTCAGAAGTTACAGTGGGATGCACAAAAACAGGCAAAGTGTTATCACATCAGCTTCACTTCTTACAAAGTCAGGTTGGAAAAACGACTCCTGGATGCACAGAAAGATTCCTGCTCCTCCTCTTCCTCCTCGCTGTTAATTGCAACCACAAGAACAGGCTTTGTGGTTAAAGGATGTGTTGTGTTTCGTCAGTGTGTGGCACATGGGGCAGACAGTTCTGTAATCCAGATGTGGTGGCACATTTGAGTCCGCTCTGTCTGGTCAACAGTGCCCAGATCTGGCTACTGAAGCCTGTGGCAAAACTGAGACAAATTTACAAAGTACAGGTTTGAACGTGAAACGTGAATGGAGCACTAACATCTGTCAGAGATCTGAAACTTGAACTTTCTTTTCAAGATGGGGCCAAAGCATTCAGAATTTTTTCCGAGGATGTGTGTTGGATTGGGTTCTGCGCGGACTTTGTAGAGTGTGTGTTCTTTGAGGTTCACTCCTTCTCTGAGCTAGTAAAGTATATAAAGCAGGGAATAAATACATAAATGAAAACATAACAGCAGCAAAAAGCTAATGATGAGACCAAGCTATATGACATTTGAAACATGCCAAGTATTTGAATTCTGTCGTAGTGGGAAAACAGTTACCCATCTAAAATATTGTCTTCTCTTGAAACTGTGTCCTGCATCCTCTGTATGCAAGGAGGACACAGAAGTCTGTGTGGTGGGTAATTGTACAACAGTCTGCCTTTTTTTCATTGTCACAAAGTGTTTAGAAGGCCATGGCTAAAGAGTCATGGCCTGACATTCACATTTCTTTGGTTAAGAATGGATATTTTTTGTCCCTTTCAGTGTTAAAGTAGAAACGTACCCATAATTTTATTTGTTTGAGTATCTCTGGAAGTCCTTGAGGCTAATCCTTAGCAGGAAACTTATGTCCTATAAATCCATTCAGCATATCTGGTGTGCTGGAGCAATCAGAATGTTGTCTTCAACCTCTGCTCCAGGGAGCTGCCGCTGTGTGAAGCAGCCTGCTCTCTCGTACAGGTCTTGGAAAACTTGAAATCCTGTGAACCTCCATAGTGAGATCTCAGGGTTATTTTACAGCAAAGCAGCAATCA